GTGACTGTTCTGCCACAAATATTGATTTTACAAAACTTCCAACAAACTGTGTTTTTATCATTATGGTCAGTAGTAGACAAAATAAAAAGTAGATGAAATAAACACTAGTTTACCATATTCCACTTAGTTCAGCACCCAACAGTCTAGTTCAAACTTAAAGTCTTTAGCAGAGCAGAAACAAGCAGATTTATTAGAATGGTGGCATTATATGGTGATAAAATATTGGCAATAGCTGAAATCTGAGGCATAAGCCAGTCTTCGGTGTTGTTTTATTTACTGTGTATAATTCATGGTTATAGCTGAATCTTAAAAATAACATAGACCCATAGTGACAATACAGTTCACACATAATGTTCTTGCTTAATTGTCAGATATTTATTATTATACCTGATTGAACCATTTTATGTATAGTAATCAAAGGTTAAGCATTTTATTAAACAAAATGTCACACTTTTTAACTCCTTGTCAAATGTTTTTAATGGATATATTTAACCCATTTGTGACCAGACCGTTTTTCAATTTTCTTACCGTTAAAGGACCACTATACAGGGAGTGCAGAATTATTAGGCAAATGAGTATTTTGACCACATCATCCTCCTTATGCATGTTGTCTTACTCCAAGCTGTATAGGCTCGAAAGCCTACTACCAATTAAGCATATTAGGTGATGTGCATCTCTGTAATGAGAAGGGGTGTGGTCTAATGACATCAACACCCTATATCAGGTGTGCATAATTATTAGGCAACTTCCTTTCCTTTGGCAAAATGGGTCAAAAGAAGGACTTGACAGGCTCAGAAAAGTCAAAAATAGTGAGATATCTTGCAGAGGGATGCAGCACTCTTAAAATTGCAAAGCTTCTGAAGCGTGATCATCGAACAATCAAGCGTTTCATTCAAAATAGTCAACAGGGTCGCAAGAAGCGTGTGGAAAAACCAAGGCGCAAAATAACTGCCCATGAACTGAGAAAAGTCAAGCGTGCAGCTGCCACGATGCCACTTGCCACCAGTTTGGCCATATTTCAGAGCTGCAACATCACTGGAGTGCCCAAAAGCACAAGGTGTGCAATACTCAGAGACATGGCCAAGGTAAGAAAGGCTGAAAGACGACCACCACTGAACAAGACACACAAGCTGAAACGTCAAGACTGGGCCAAGAAATATCTCAAGACTGATTTTTCTAAGGTTTTATGGACTGATGAAATGAGAGTGAGTCTTGATGGGCCAGATGGATGGGCCCGTGGCTGGATTGGTAAAGGGCAGAGAGCTCCAGTCCGACTCAGACGCCAGCAAGGTGGAGGTGGAGTACTGGTTTGGGCTGGTATCATCAAAGATGAGCTTGTGGGGCCTTTTCGGGTTGAGGATGGAGTCAAGCTCAACTCCCAGTCCTACTGCCAGTTCCTGGAAGACACCTTCTTCAAGCAGTGGTACAGGAAGAAGTCTGCATCCTTCAAGAAAACATGATTTTCATGCAGGACAATGCTCCATCACACGCGTCCAAGTACTCCACAGCGTGGCTGGCAAGAAAGGGTATAAAAGAAGAAAATCTAATGACATGGCCTCCTTGTTCACCTGATCTGAACCCCATTGAGAACCTGTGGTCCATCATCAAATGTGAGATTTACAAGGAGGGAAAACAGTACACCTCTCTGAACAGTGTCTGGGAGGCTGTGGTTGCTGCTGCACGCAATGTTGATGGTGAACAGATCAAAACACTGACAGAATCCATGGATGACAGGCTTTTGAGTGTCCTTGCAAAGAAAGGTGGCTATATTGGTCACTGATTTGTTTTTGTTTTGTTTTTGAATGTCAGAAATGTATATTTGTGAATGTTGAGATGTTATATTGGTTTCACTGGTAATAATAAATAATTGAAATGGGTATATATTTGTTTTTTGTTAAGTTGCCTAATAATTATGCACAGTAATAGTCACCTGCACACACAGATATCCCCCTAACATAGCTATAACTAAAAACAAACTAAAAACTACTTCCAAAAATATTCAGCTATATTGATATGATGATATTAATGAGTTTTTTGGGTTCATTGAGAACATGGTTGTTGTTCAATAATAAAATTAATCCTCAAAAATACAACTTGCCTAATAATTCTGCACTCCCTGTAGTGCCAGGAAAACATACTCGTTTTCCTGGCACTATAGTGCCCTGAGGGTGCCCCAACCCTCAGGGTCCCACTCCCGCCGGGCTCTGGGGAGAGGAAAAGGGTTAAACTTACCTTTTTTCCAGTGCCGGGCGGGGAGCTCTCCTCCTCCTCTCCGCCTCCGATCCTCCTCTTCGGCTGAATGCGCGTGCACGGCAGGAGCTGCGCGCGCATTCAGCCGGTCTCATAGGAAAGCATTGTAAATGCTTTCCTATGGATGCTTGCGTCTTCTCACTGTGATTTTCACAGTGAGAAGCAGGCAAGCGCCTCTAGATGCTGTCAATGAGAGAGCCACTAGAGGATTTGGAGGATTTGGAAACTGCTATGTTTATAAAAAAAAAAGGGTTAATCCTAAAGGGACCTGGCACCCAGACCACTTCATTAAGCTGAAGTGGTCTGGGTGCCTAGAGTGGTCCTTTAAGGACCAGGGCTGTTTTTACATTTCTGCGGTGTTTGCGTTTAGCTGTAATTTTCCTTTTACTCATTTACTGTGCTCACACATATTATATACAGTTTTGCTCACCATTAGATGGTCTTTCTAAAGATACCATTATTTCCATCATATCGTATAATTTACTATAAAATAAATTATAAAATAGTAATTAATATATCAAAATCTGTTACGCATCTACAACTGCCAAAAAACACCCATGCTAAATAGTTTTAAAATTTTGTCCTGAGTTTAGATATACGCAATGTTAACATGTTCTTAGCTTATTTTTGCATGTTATAGGGCTATAAGTACAAGTAGGACATTGCTGTTTTAAAATATATATTTTAAAAATGTATCAATAGTGACATTATTTGTGTTATCTGTCATAAATCTCTGAATCACACCTCACATGTACATATTTTTTTTTTAAAGTAGACAACCCAGGGTATTCAATATGGGGTATGTCCAGTCATTTTTAGTAGCCACTTAGTCACAAACACTGGTCAAAGTTAGCATTGATATTTGTTTGTGTGTTAAAAATGCAAAAAACAATTATGAACACTAACTTTGGCCAGTGTCCGTGACTAAGTGGCTACTAAAAAAGACTGTAATATAAAAATATACAGTAATGGTGTAATATATAAATAAAAGAAAGAAAGGGTAGTTCCACACACTCACCAGCGACTAATATTGAGTGGAAGCTCACAGACTGTAAAAGTGTGGACACTTACCCAATCATAAAATAAAAATAGTAATTATAATCATAAATAGATAAACCACTGTTTATTCATCAGAAACAGTTAAAAAATAATTATCAAAATACACAAAATATGATCTGGACCTATTATGTAACAAATAAAAACAATAACGCTATCCTGAAACAAATGTAACCACACAGCTCTCTAATAAGTGAGGAAATTGAGTGGTAGCAACACCCAGACTCAATGTAAAGATATAGTAACAAAGTGTCCTAGTGTTGCCCCATCCCAAACCCTAACACAAGTATAATAGCGAATATACTCTGATGTAAAGATATATAAACACAGTACCTGTCCTCGGTGTGGGCCCCCACTGAGGTAAAAAAAGGAGAGCAGAGAGTCTAAAAATGTGATAAAAGAGGAATACGGCACACTAAATATCCATGGAGGTCGTAAGCTGATGCACCGCGGTCGGATCTTCGAAAAAGACCGCGGTGGAGTATAACCAGACACCGTAAGGTACAGCTTCAAAGGTAAGATCCAGCAAACAGAGCCCAATGAAGAAAAGACCGCCAAAATGGATATGTGCTTCCTGCTTTCACTCCAAAACAGCAATCAAATAACAGCAGGTCCAGAACACAACCTGTCTACGCGTTTCATCCCTCCCACGGGACTTTATCAAGACTAAAGATAGTATGTGAGCAACCCGGTATAAATACCCCACACACGGCAGGAAAAAAAAAAGGGGGGGAAAACCAGGGCTGGATTCACAATAAAAGAGAAAATGACATTAAAAAAAAATTTTATACATAAAAATAAAAATAAAATTAACATAATATAACATATGTATAACATCTTAATATAAAGGGTCAGGCAACCAACATATATAGTAATATGAGTGTACATTAAAAGTAGAAGAGAAACCATGTTATTATTTCGAAGTATACTATTAACTTATCGTAAAAAGGACCCTAAGTCTCATAACATTACCAGAAAGGACATACCACCCACAAAGGGTGAATCCATAGTGATCAGAACAACTCCAACTCCTCATTGAGGCCATTAGGAGTCATAGAGTTGAGCTTAAAAATCCACATGGACTCAGCCTTAGTGAGCTCCCTTCTCCGTTTAGCTTCATCCTGATGGGGGGGAATATGTACTATTCCCACTAACTTAATACCAACAGGATTACTATCATGAAAGATAGAGAAATGTCGGGCCACCGAAGATTTACCATCATTACGTATAATAGCTGTTCTGTGTTCCCGAAATCTACATTTCAAAGATCTAATAGTTTGGCCCACATAATGCCGTTCACAAGGGCAAATAAGGAGGTATACCACAAAAGAAGTGTTACAAGAGATCAAAGATTGTATAGAAAAAATCTCCGTACTGTCAAATGGACTAAAGGTAGAAATATGAGGGCAAATAAAACCACAAGTAAGACACCTGGTGTGACCACAACGTTTATTAGCCAAAGTACTAACAACTGTTGTCTGATGAAGTATAGTTGGACTATGTAATTTCGAAGGGGCTAGAATATTCTTCAAATTTGGTGCCCTTCTAAAAGTGACCCTTGGGGTCCCAGACACGCAGAATGACAACCAAGGATCTTTAATCAATATAGGCCAATATTTGTTGAGTATTTCAATAATATCATCATAGCCCTTATTAAAGGTGGTAGAGAATATAGGTGTTCTCCCTGTACCAACCTTTATGGTGCTGATGTTAAATTTCGCTCTTTTAGCTTTATTTGAAAAAATACTAGAATTCAAAAGTTCAAGGATCTTAAAATGTTCTTTTGTATGATCTTGTTCTGGACATAGGAATGGTAAAGGAGAATTTACCCCAGAAACCATCCCATTCTGAACACCAGAACTTGATACCATACCATAATTATGGCCCTTTAAATAGGCTTGTAAAATATTGTTCAATGGATAAGATTTCTCTACAAAACGTCGGGACAAAACCAGTGACTCTCTCTCGTAATCACTCACATAGGAGCAGTTACGCCTGATCCTGGTAAATTGTCCCAAAGGTATATTTTGTATCCATGTGGGATGGTGCCCACTCATGGCATGTAGATAGCCATTGACATCCACACTTTTTTGAAAGGTTTTGGTGACAATCGAACTTGTAGTTCCAATAAGGGTAAGATCCAAGAACTCTATGATGGATTTGTGTTTCTTATAGGTGAAAGAAAGACCCCATTGGTTGTCATTAATATGTGCCATAAAATCTTCTACTTCATCCCAACCACCCTTCCAGATAATAAGGATGTCGTCAATAAACCTGCGATAAAGGGCGAGTCTCCCCATCCAAAGTTGATCTGAAAAAAATCACAGATTGTTCCCAAAAGTCCAAAAATAAATTGGCATAGGACGGGGCAAAACTCGCCCCCATCGCATTTCCTTTTGTTTGCAAGAAAAACTTTCCATTAAATTCAAAATAATTGTGCTTTAACATAAAATCGGTGAACCCAATAATAAATTCAGACTGCTTAGCAGGAAGAAGAGGATCTGAATCCAAATACCAAGCAAGAGCTTTAAGGCCCAAAGTATGATCTATATTCGAGTACAGGGCTGCCACATCAATAGTGAGCCAACAATAGTGTTCCCTCCATTCAGTTTCTTTAACAATAGACAAAACATGCCCTGTATCCTTCAAAAAGGACGGTAAATGTGGGACAAATCTTTGTAGATGAAAATCCACCCACTTAGAAATGGGTGCAATAAGGGAGCCTAGCCCCGATATAATGGGGCGCCCTGGTAGATTATGAAGGGATTTGTGTACCTTGGGAAGGTAATAAAAAATGGGAATATCCCCTTTAGCTGAAAGAAAAAAAATTCTCTCTTTCTTATCAATAGCACCATGTTGAAATGCTAAATCTATGAGATCTCTCAATTCTCGTCTAAAACGCTTAGTGGGATCAAACCCTAAGGTCTCATAGTATTCTGTATTCCTCAATATACGTTCAGCTTCCTGTAGGTAATCTGCTTTATCCAACAAGACATTACCCCCTCCCTTGTCCGCCCCTTTAATAATGAGACTACAGTTATTTTTTAAACTGGCAATCGCTGCTATCTCAGATGGCTCCAGATTGTTACAAACCCGATCTTTTCTCCTTTTGTACTCACTACAGAGGATCTTAAAATCTCGTAGGACAAATTCATAAAACATTTGTAAATAAGGGCCTTTATCACCCTGTGGATAGAAAGTAGAGGAGGTTTTAACCCTGATGGAATATTGGCTTCGACTATATAAATAGGGTCTTCCATACAGTATGGATGTTCTTGTTCCTCTAGTAAAGAGACAAGACCATGAAAAAGAATTTTATCCTGTGGAGTATTGAGAAATTTAGGACAAATATCTTTACCCTTCGTATCACTAAGATAAAAAAATCTAATGCATGTAAGTTTTCTAATAAAATAATTGAGATCTTTAAACAAATCCATTATATTGGGTAATCTATCAGGAGCATATTTGAGTCCTTTATTTAGAAGTATAGTTTCTCCAATACTTAACTCATGGGTTGATAAATTAAACAAGCCTTTATTTAAAGGCATCTCACTTTGGCTGGACTGTTCACCCCTTCCATTTGATCCTCCACATCGATCCCCCTCTTTTTGTGGGGGCGTCTGAATAGGGGAAACGTTTTCTCCTTTTCCAATTGATGGAAGGGGGGAGATTCTAAAAAATCATCATCTAAATGATCACCAGCAGGCTGACAATTGCGGTCTATCTTTTTCGGTCTAGCCCCTTGAGCACACGTCAGATCAGACCCAACTTTAAAACCCTCCTTAGCTCTATTAAATTGGGGGTTAAATCCCAATGGAATCCGATTGGGATTTTGTGGATCATGATTATCATAATTGTTAATATTTTTATGATGTGGTAAAACTGCTACACGGTTTTTATTATTATTGTATTTCAAAACTGACTTCCCCCTGTTAGCGGTGAAGGGAGACCTCCTCCTAAGCCGGGGATTTTTTACAATATCAGCATAAGTTTTGGACTTCAATTTAAAGCCCCTATCGGGGGATGAATAAGGGCAAGTGATATTACCCTCCTTGTTTCTTTCTCGATAATTTTTATTATTTTGGGTAGACCTAGAGACCCGTTTACGTTGCCAGCTCCTAATTTGTCCATTTTGATAATCAAGTTTATCTCTCTGAAATTTACTCTTTTTACGAAAAATCAGATCTTTCTCAAAACACACAAGTCTCTGATTAGTGGCCTCGTCTAAATTGGAAATAACAGAGGATTGCTCCTGTACAGAACCTATCCGTTCTTGTATTTCCTTAATAGACTTTTCTGTGTCAAGGAGTCTAGATTCTCTGTACCTGACCAAGATATCCATAAGTACAAAAGAACAGGTATCTAGAGCCCCCAACCATTCCTGTTCTAATGGAGTGTTGTCATTAAAGAAGGGTTGTTTCTCAAACCTGAGACCTCTTGGAATGAATTTATTATCAATCTATTTTTTCAGAAGGGCACTATCCCACCAATCTCTCATTTCTGACTTCAGGGTTTTTTCTAACTCAAAGAATAATTTATGTATATTGGTTTCAATCACCGGGATCGTATCTATATCCTCCGGATCTCTATCTTTCAGGAGATTCATTCTCCTATCAAGCCTATGAGTAATACTATGAAGATTCATTCTTAGTACCTAATAGGATACCTTATATAAAGAAAGACTTAAGATAGAGACAAATATACGTGCACTCACAGAGAGTAGCGTCTACTAAATATGGGAATCGCTACCAATAAATGAAACTAGTTGCCTGACACTACACCAAAAATTGCGCTGGTATACTAAATAGAAAATAATATAAAAATATACAGTAATGGTGTAATATATAAATAAAAGAAAGAAAGGGTAGTTCCACACACTCACCAGCGACTAATATTGAGTGGAAGCTCACAGACTGTAAAAGTGTGGACACTTACCCAATCATAAAATAAAAATAGTAATTATAATCATAAATAGATAAACCACTGTTTATTCATCAGAAACAATTAAAAAATAATTATCAAAATACACAAAATATGATCTGGACCTATTATGTAACAAATAAAAACAATAACGCTATCCTGAAACAAATGTAACCACACAGTGACTGAACATACCCCATTTGCAATACCTTGGATTGTCTTCTTTTGCAAATGGTATCATGGAGGTAATTCTCATGCCTGGACTACCATACGCTCTCAAAGGCAATGTAACTAATCTGGCAAATTTCAATGTGAAAAAAAATAAACAAGCCTTATATTTGACCCTGTAACTTTCAAAAACACTATAAAACATGTACATGGGGGTACTGTTTTACTCAGGAGACTTCGCTGAATACAAATATTAGTGTTTCAAAACAGTAAAACGTATCACAACAATGATACCATCAGTGAAAGTGCCATTTGTGTGTGAAAAATGCAAAAAAACATCACTTTCACTGACAATATCATCACTGATATATTTTACTGTTTTAAAACACTAATATTTGGGTTTAGTGAGGTCTCCTGAGTACAACAATACCCCCCATGTACAGGTTTTAGGGTGTCATGGAAAGTTACAGGGCTAAATACAGTGCTAGCAAATTAAATTCTCTGGACTTTTGGCCTGGGTTGTCAGGCAGGTCCCTCAAATTGAATAAAAATATAAGATACACCTAAGGAATAAAGGCAGAGAGAAAATTCATAGGGCAACACTATATAGTCAAAATGTGGCCCCTTTAAGTAAATATTGCACTCACAAAAAATCAGAGTATTATGAGCCCATCAAGGTTTCTTTAAATGCTCAGCTACAGGTGTCCTCAATGTCCCAGGGTACATGTCAAAAGGAAAAAACTGGACATAGTATAGTAATGTTGGAAATATAAATAAACACTTTAATTGAATGCACTTACAAAAAGTGAAAGGTAAAAATGCCCATCAGTTAGTCTCTGTGTCCCTCTGAATCAGCTGAATTGGAGACCAGAATAAGCAGTGATATGCAGCTCTACGCATTTCGTCTCTTGCTGGAGACTTCCTCAGGAGAAATTAAAAATAAAATGCAATAAAATACAATATAATACAATTGATAACAAAAATAAGGCATAACACAACATCAGAGTCCACAATTCCTTTTGTAGGTCTTCTTGTCGTTCATTCTACCAATCAGGGGCATTAGAATCACCTGTTCCCAGTCTTCTTATCTGTTCACTGCCAAATAAGGACTTCCGTTTTTCAGTGGAACGCATATGCGTTCCACCCGTCGGCAGTTCATGATGACGTCATCAGTTCGCGTCTGGAACGCACATGCGTTCCACTTCGCTCAAAAGGGAACCAAAAGAAACACAAAGATGAGGAGAACAGCGTCAAACATATCAAGCAGACTCCATGTTTACATAGGGTTACAAATATATCCTAAGTATACACCCAAGATAAAAGAATCAGATATATACATTAGATACACATGTTATATACACATTTATACAGACCCACAGAGGGAAAAAAAGGGGGTTAATGGAGTCACAAGCATATATTATCTAATAGATAAAGAAAATAAATAAATAAATAAATAATAATAAATAAAGATAAAAGTGAAATAAAGATCAAATAAAATTTATATGAAAAAGAAATAAGAAAAAATAATAAAGTTAAAGAAAACAAATTAAATCAAAATCCACATTCAACCCAAGTGGTTGAAGTGTTTTCAGCTTGTGAATCCAAAATCCCTCCCTCTGTCTAAGTCTCATGACAATGTCACCTCCCCTCACACCAAGTGATATTTGCTCTATTATCACCCAAGAAAAGGTATGTGTGTCAAAAAGCGGACAACGATTGCAGTGAACTGGAACAGAATGGTTCATCATCCCTTTCTGTATATTGTTCTTATGTTCCAGAAATCGCACCTTGGCTTTCCTCACTGTTCTTCCAACATACTGCGCTCCACATCCACACGTGAGGAGATACACAACATGTGTGGAGGAACACGAGACTGATCCCTGAATTTTAAATACCTCTTTAGTGGTTGTGCTAGAAAATGAATATGTATGCAAAGGTTTGCCTCTACAGGCTTTACACGTTCCGCAAATATGAAACCCCTTGGGAGTGTTAATATAAGGTTTAATCTTTTTCTGAAATAGACTTGGTGCAAGGAAACTGGAAAAGTTCTTTCCTTTTCTATAGATAATATTAGGGTGTTTAGGAAGTTGAGGTCCAATATATTCATCATATTTAAAAATATTCCAATGTCTCTTAAATATTTTATTAATGGCAAAGGTTTTGGAGTTGTATTGTGTATTAAATGAATATTCAAAAGATCTATCCAAGTTCT